GAAAGAGAAAGAACAGACTGATTGAGAAGAAACAGCTCAGGAGGGGGCTCTCTGCTCCCGGAACTAGACATATATGGTCTTAAGTGTTGTTTTAAGCATCAAACATTTCCTGAGTCCAAGTTAGCCAGTTTTAATATAGGATATCTAATATGACACCTATAAGCTTGAACCTCGGAATCAAAGTAAATTCTATCACAATAACCACCAACACTTGTTTTTATATATATATATATATATATATATATATATATATATATATATATATATATATATATATACACATACATATATACATGTAGATCCTCTTGCTCTGATATGTTGAGACATGGACTCCACAAGATCTCTGAACGTGTCCTGTGGTATCTAACACAAGACATTAGCAGCAGATCCTTTGCGGTGGTGACTTCATTGAATTTGTTGCCCTGGCACATCCCACAGATGCTCAATCAGATTGAGATATGACGAATTAACTATTTGTCAGGTTCCTTAAACCATTCCTTAACAATTTTTGCAGTGTGGCATGGTGCATTATCCTGTTGAAAGAGGCCACTGCTATCTGGTCCTTTTTATGTTGATAAAATCAATGAGGACCTCTTTATGTTGCATTTTTTAGAATGGAAAATACTGACCAGTACCATTTTGACAATAATACACTTCAAAAAAGTATCTGCTTTCTAAAGAGTGACATACCTTTGTTAAGCTACAATGTAATGATCATCTGCTCAACATGTGTATCTCGTTTGCTTGTCGTGGTGCCAGGAAAAAAAAGATTAAAAGAACAGGGAATAATTATGACTTTTTTTTTTTAAAGTGCATTTATATACATAGCTTGAGGTTGCATCCAATACACAGACATCAAGGGAGAATGCCAAAGTTTAAGAGCCTAAGGGACGGGTTTCTTACACAAACAGAGATTTAATTTTTTGTGAACAGAAGCCCTTTGTTCTAATGTATTTTTTTAAACAATTTTGCATATATCTTTTCATTGCATTAAGTTACAAATCCAAGACCATGTTTAATTTCATCAATATGCACTGTGAAGACACAGATGATAGTGCATGGTTAAATGTTGTGATTATTCTATCATCATCATATAATTGTCTAATCACTGCTACAGCATACCCATCTTTTACATGGTTGATCATCAGTGACAAAAAAACGTTATACCAAATTAACTAGTAATTAGGAATAAGTTGCTCTTTGACAGAGGATTGAAAAGAAAAGACTATCAGGTTTCTTTTTCATCACTAGAAAGAGCTTTAAAGTTGGTGATGATAAATATTTGCTGGTGAGCCATAAAACATGATTGATGTACCATAATGGATGAAATATTATGAAGTCATGACTGGTTTGTCTTTAAAGCAATATAAACACAGAGGATACATTTTTAGCTTATACTACTTCCTCATCATGTACAGTTCTTCTAAAGATCACTCATTTTACCTGATCAAGAACATTATATAGAGTTAGAATGACTAATTTCAACTATACGTTGACCAAAGAAAGGTATATCATGTGCAAAGTTTCCCACATTCCATATGATTAAATTGCAATGATTAAATCAACATTTATCATAATCACATTGAACAATTTGTTGATTTTATACTAACCATTTAAAGGTTTTAGAGATACCAGGCATAAATTATGAAATTCATAAGAAATCACTTTGATCTCCTGGCATTTCTCAGTTTACTGAATAACAATGTAACTCAAACAGTTTTAAGTACATTTAAAATGTAAAGCTTTTGTAGCCAAACTGATAGCATAGCTCATGTTTGACTTGCAATTTGTAATTCCCATTGAATTCACTTTTAATTATCACTTTAGTATATTCACCTGTAATTGACTATTGACACCAGAACATCAAGGCAGAGTGATCACTTGTATGAGCCAGTTGTAGTATGTACAGCATAGTATGCATATTTTATTTAACTATTGGATTAGTGCCCACATACAGACATTGTGTTAAGATCCGCATGTTATTAGTAGAAGGCTGCATTCCCATAAATGAAATCAGGTCCTCTAAAAATATTAGTACTCCCATAGTTTAGACATTTCAATTTATGCAAGTTTGTCACACTTGCAGTATGTGACATAACAGTATCTCTCTACTGTTCAAATTTTCACCTGAATTCACTATCTAAGATGAGTTGTTATTTTCATATATTATTGCAGAATGAAATTTAGTTCATAAAACCTCACTCACCCTCATTTCTACACCAGTTATGATTACCAGTCTGAATAGGGACACATTTTTCTACCAGAAACCACTAGTAGTCACTGATATAATGCCTGAAAACTTGCTGAAAAATTAATCTCACCCCAGCTTTCAAATTGTACAAGAAGTTTCAATGGGTCATATCAGATCAACAGAGGGAGAGGAGTGAATAGACTCTTATATTTCATTGTTAGAATTACATCAGCATTCCAGAGATTAAAAATATTTATTTAAAAAATAAATAGGCGCAAATGCAGACATTCTTTTGAAATTCTGTTGCCGGTTTTAGTAAGATGTCTTGCTAGTAATGCATTCAGGGTCCTTACAAACACAGTATTTGACCATTTTTATTTATTTGTTTTGTCACATCTACTGTATGTGAGAGAAATTGCATGTTTGCTTTTATACTAACATTTCAGAACCTGTGTGAAATATTGCAAGATAAAGAACACTGTATTCTGTCTAAAACCTTTAATTTGCCAAATATATTTTTTATAAAGGTTGAGCAAATATGTTAAAACTAAAAATTGTGTAAATATAAATAATTTAAACTTTTACATTTGTCTGCAAAGCAATCTATACACAAAATTGCTGTTTTATGATATGTTTATATGCTGTCTTTGCATCCCCTACTTTAAATACATGTCATGTTAATATTTGTGTTCAATGAAAAAGAGCTTGATAGTGATGAGATTAAGTCATACACTAAGGGATATTATTTAATCTCACTCTATTGCCACATATAGCAGGTGCCATAAAGAAATGTGATAGACACTGCTCATTGGAATTTCAAATGAATCTAAAATATTTTTTCAGAATGCACATTCCTACAAACAGCATCAATCAGGCCCGGACTGGCCATCGGGCACACCGGGCAAATGCCCGGTGGGCCGCGGTGGCCATGGGCCGAGGCCGGCAGGGGAGGTCCCAGGATCTCCCCTGCCGGTCTATGCAGGGCCGGCACTCTCCCAGCGCCGGCCCCGCTTTGTGCCACGACGGGCCGGTGGGGAGATCAAGGATCTCCCTGACCGGCCCACATGCGGCCGCCGGCGGGGAGGGAGACAGCCAGCTAGCTAGGCTGGAGAGAGGACCCGGCGGAGCTCTAACTTGCAGCTCCGCCGGGTTCCTCTCTGTCAGGATACTGACAGGGATCCAATACGCAGAGTGCGGACAGAAGGAGGTACGTATACCGGACCTTAGAATGGCCGGACTAACGTAGGGACAAAGCAGAATAGTCAAAAGGTAAGCCGAGGTCGAGGGAGCCGGAGGACAGGTAAGCAAGATACAAGCCGAGTCAAAGGAGAGGAGAAGACAACAGGACAAAAGACAAGCAAGGGTCAAAACCGGAAACACAAGATAAAGAACGCGCTGAGTGACTAGCAAGCTAGAACCACGACAGGGCAATGAGCAGTAGTAAAGGTTTCCTTTAAATACCCTGTACCTAAATAGAGACCACGCCCCCAAAAGGTCCGGAATAGCGGTTCCCGGCACTTTATGCAAATGCCGACGTCATGACGTCGACGCTAGCCGTCGCGTCATAAAAGGGGGAGGAGCTAGCGCGGCCGGCGCGAAAACGGCCGGAATATGCCGAAATGCTAGGGGCAGGGAGCCCCTAAACAGAGAGGATGTCTTCCCTGGATTCAGCACCAACAGGTACCCTGACAGTACCCCCCCTTCTAGAAACGCCCACCGGGCGGATGGGACCGGGCTTAGAAGGAAAACGAACGTGGAATGCCCGAAGAAGACGAGGAGCATGCACGTCTATACCAGGAACCCAAGACCTCTCTTCTGGACCATAACCTTTCCAGTCTATGAGGTATTGCAGCTTCCCCCTAGAAATACGAGAATCAAGGATGGACTTGATGATATATTCCTCCTGACCATCCACACGGACCGAGGATGGAGGAGCAGAGTGGGAGGAAAATCTGTTACAAACAAGAGGTTTCAATAAAGACACATGAAAAGAGTTAGGGATGTGTAGAGTAGGAGGTAGATCCAGCAAATAAGAAACCGGGTTGATCCTCCTCAGCACCCTGTAAGGACCAATGTAACGAGGAGCAAACTTCAAGGAAGGGACTTTCAGGCGAATGTGTCTGGTACACAACCAGACCCTATCACCCGGAGAAAAAATAGGAGCAGGCCGCCTACGCCTATCAGCATGTGACTTAAACACCGCGGAACTACGTTCAAGAATTTGTCGAGTCTGATCCCACAACTTTCTCAGGTTGGCTATATGAATATCAACCGACGGTATACCCTGGGAAGGAGACACCGACGGAAGAACAGTAGGGTTAAAGCCATAGTTCAAGAAAAAGGGGCTATTACGAGTGGAACCACAAACAAGGTTGTTGTGAGCAAACTCCGCCCAAGGAATCAGACCGACCCAGTCATCCTGGTGTTCAGAAACAAAACAACGTAGATATTGCTCAATTTTTTGGTTAGTGCGTTCGGCTGCTCCGTTAGATTGAGGATGATAGGCCGAAGAAAAATTCAGTTTGATGCCCAACTGGGAACAGAAGGATCTCCAAAAACGGGAAATAAATTGGGAACCCCTGTCTGACACAATCTCATTGGGAATACCATGTAAACGGAAAATTTCTCTAGCAAATATCACGGCCAGTTCAGGAGAGGACGGAAGTTTAGGCAAGGGAATGAAATGAGCCATTTTAGTAAACCTGTCAAGGACCGTGAGGATAACCGTATGCCTACTGGAAGCTGGTAGATCAACAATAAAATCCATAGCCAAACAAGCCCAAGGTTTGTTGGGAACGACTAAGGGCTGCAATAAACCACAAGGGAGATCCCGCGGAAGTTTATTCCTGACACAAACATTGCAAGCCTTGACAAAGTCTTCTACATCCCTACGTAAACCGGGCCACCAGAAGTCTTTGGAGATCAGGCAGTAAGTTTTGTGGATGCCGGGGTGACCAGCGAACTTGCTATCGTGAAAACAGCGAATAATGTCCACTTGGAATTTGGGAGACACGAACAAGCGGCCCACAGGAGTACGTTCGGGAGCAAGAGATTGTTCGTTCATAATATCAGCGAGCAATGGAGAGTGTATTTTGACATTGGTGTTGGCGATAATATTGACTTCAGGAATAATAGGGAACAAAGTGTCCTCTGTAGAGGTGATAGGTTCGTGCTGACGTGACAAAGCGTCTGCCTTAGTGTTCTTAGAACCAGGCCTGTAAGTAAGCATATAATTAAAGTGTGTAAGGAACATAGACCAACGTGCCTGCCTGGCAGATAATCTTTTGGCCTCCCCCATATACGATAAATTTTTGTGGTCAGTCAAGATGGTAACTGGGAGGACAGTGCCCTCTAACAAATGTCTCCATTCCTTTAATGCCATAATGATAGCTAAAAGTTCTCTATCACCAATGTCATATCTCCTTTCAGTGTGTGATAGTTTCTTGGAAAAAAAACCGCAAGGGTGCAGCGGCTTATCTAAACTTTGTCTTTGGGACAACACTGCGCCTATCCCTGTTTCAGACGCATCAACTTCAAGTAAAAAGGGTAGAGAGGTATCAGGATGAACTAATACAGGTGCTGAGGCAAAAGACTGTTTGAGCGTTTCGAAAGCAGCTAAAGCCTCAGTAGACCAGGTTTTGGTATCGGCTCCTTGTTTGGTCATATTAGTGATAGGAGCGATAACAGAGGAGTACCCTTTAATAAAACGTCTGTAATAATTAGAAAATCCAAGAAATCTTTGTATGGCTTTGAGTCCCTTAGGTAAAGGCCAATCTAAAATCGATTTTAGTTTGGTCGGGTCCATCATAAACCCGTCTTTGGAAATTACGTAACCTAAGAAAGTTACCTGAGACTGGTCAAAGCTACATTTTTCCAATTTACAATACAATCCATGTTGTAAAAGTTTCTGTAATACCTTTCTGACTTGTCTATGATGTGAATTAATGTCTCTAGAATGGATTAGTATATCATCCAAATATACAATTACACATTCATGTTGGAATTCTCTAAGAACTTCATTGATTAAGTCTTGGAAGACGGCCGGGGCGTTACAAAGCCCAAACGGCATTACGGTATACTCATAATGCCCGTAACGGGTATTAAATGCTGTCATCCATTCATCTCCTTGTTTAATTCGCACTAAGTTATATGCTCCTCTCAAGTCAAGTTTGGTAAAAATACTCGAGCCCTTTAGTCTGTCAAAGAGTTCAGTAATCAAAGGAATAGGGTAAGCATTCCTGATAGTAATTTTGTTCAATCCCCGATAGTCTATACAAGGACGTAAGGTACCGTCTTTCTTTTCTACAAAAAAGAAACCTGCCCCCGCCGGAGAAGAAGACTTTCTGATAAATCCTTTGTCTAAATTCTCCTTGATGTATTCCTCTAAAACTAAGTTTTCCTTGGTGGATAGAGGGTATACCGTACCCCTGGGAGGCATAGTACCAGGGAAAAGTTTAATAGAACAGTCATAAGACCGGTGGGGAGGTAAAGTATCCGCCTTACCCTTGTCAAAAACAGATTTGAGGTCTAGATATTGTAGTGGTATCTGAACGTCAGTGGATTGAGAAGTGTTAGCATAAGAGTTTATGGGGCAGACAGAAGTAACTCTCTGCAGACATGCTTTCCTACAACCCATACCCCAAGAAACGATTTCTCCACCCTCCCAGTCAATCTGAGGGTTGTGTCTCTTGAGCCAAGAATATCCTAGTACTACTGGGACTGCCGGGGAGGAAATTAACAGAAGGGAAATCAACTCCTCGTGGAAAATACCAACAGTAAGCTTAACGGGTTTGGTCTCATGGAATATTACTGGTTCAGATAAAGGTCTACCATCTATGGCCTCAACGGCCAAGGGTGTATCTCTCAATTGGAATGGGATACAATGCTTATTAGCGAAAGTTTGGTCTATAAAGCTTTCTGCTGCTCCAGAATCTAATAATGCCATCGTAGAAATAAACCCCTTTTCCCAAGCTAGAGAGACAGGAATCAGAAGCCTATGGTCTTTTTATTATGCATAGAGGACAGTAATGAAACACCCAAGGCCCGTCCTCTAAGGGAACTTAGGTGCGAGCGTTTCCCGGACGATTAGGGCAACTAAGACGTAGGTGACCTCTCCGCCCACAGTATAAACAGAGACCCTCCCTTCTTCTGTACTGTCTCTCAGCCTCAGATAAGCGAGTATTACCTATTTGCATAGGTTCTGGTGGAGTAAGGTTATAGGAGTCAGGGTTCTGAAATGAGGGAGCGAGTCTTACAGGAAGTCTAGTAACTCTTTCCCGAGTGTTCTGCCTCTGTCTCATGCGTTCATCTATTCTGGAAATGAAGGATATTAAATCCTCTAAATTTTCCGGAAGTTCTCTTGTGGCAATTTCATCTAAAATTTCATCAGACAACCCATTCAAGAAAACATCCATAAAAGCTTGTTCGTTTCATTTCACTTCTGCTGCCAATGATCTAAACTCTAGAGCATATTCTACAAGGGTCCTATTCTGTTGTTTAAGGCGTAACAGGGATCTGGCCGCATTAATCTTCCTCCCTGGGGGGTCAAAGGTTCTTCTAAAAGCCGTGAC